GATCCCAGGAGCATCATGGTCTTGACGGAATTGAGTTTCGACATCGGACGAGGGAGAAACGAGCATCAAAAGGTTGGAGTGAAAGTTGGACAAATTCATGTACTGTTTGTGACAATTCGAAAAGTTTAGAGACCACAATCGTAATTTTCTTTAGAAGTCCAAGTCAATGGTGTTGACTGGATAATTGCAGTCTCGATACCTGAGACTTTGAAAAACTGACAGAATGTTTATTTTGGTCATAACTCGATCAATTGACGTTCAAACGCGAAACCGTTTGCACCTATGGAATCGTGGGAACGAGGAAAATTGAACGGGAGCAAGTTGTGGAATTTTTAGATAAGAATCAGAGTCGATTTTTACGAATTCAAGGTGAGTGTAAATGGGGTAAATTCTATGCCTTACGGTTTTTTCCAGTACTTGCTTTGAGTATTTTTTAAGTATTGATTTACGTGATGTGCGTGCCGTATTTGATTCATGGTTGATATTACATTATTATGTTTCACTATTTGTGCTTTTCTTGAGCTATTATTTTGTATGAGCTATGCCCGATATGAATGTGCATGAATTCTTAGTTAATTTTAAGCTTCCCGTCTATAATTGTTAAAGTTAAGAAACAAGTTCTTTTCAAAGAAGTAGCTCACCTTCAAGAAGGTGAAGTCGTTTTAAGTATTTTTAGTCACTAGCGCCAGTCCGTTGCCTTTTGAGACATTTTGAGATAGAGCAGCAGTTATGCTCTTGAGACTTTTAAGATGAGCAGCAGTTATGCTCTTGAGAATCGTGGTGAAGAGCCACCACGATAAGTTTAAGACGTTAGGGGGATGAATCGTTACGACTTCCCTAACTAAGTTTAAATTTAAGGAAAGCCTGAATGGCTTCTCATACGTATGAGTTGGCAACCGGACTAGCTAGTGAGGGATCCCCGTGTCAGTCAAGATTTAAGTCAAGTTTTGAGCTTTAAGAAGGGAGAGTAACTTTAACTCCCGAAGAATAAGATTGTTTTCAGTGTTTTATTTAAGAAAATTTTTCCTACTGCAATTTAAGATTTGGAGTATTTTATTTATCAAGGGCATTTTAGTAAAAGTAGTACCCGGCCGGGTTAGGGTGTTTCAGTTTGCAACTTATTTTCATGTTGAACAATCGAACGTAATTAAGTTAACCATCAGACGTAATACCAACCTTGTATGGTGGAATAACGAACCTTGATACTTGAAAGACTAATGTGGTCCATATAAATGTATAATCATGATAATGATTGATTTACTCCAAAACCATTCACTAGAAGACAAATCAATCAAATACCCACATATTTCCTTTAAGACCTTTGAATCTCTTTTGGCTCAAGAAACAAAGGAAAAAAAGATTAGATAAATGGGTTCTCCGAGTTCATCATCTTTTATGTTGTGTTGTATACTCTTATCAATTTTTATCATCCTGAATCTTCAATACGAAATACAGGCCAGAAAGCTATCACCATTACTAACAAACCCTCCAGTCAAAATTCTCGAAGAAAATTATGGAAAGAATATCATTATTGATCAAGCACGGGCCTATAGAAATACTACCCATGCATTGGTTGATGATGACCTCAATATAGATTCTATTGTGCATGAGATCCACACCGTTTAGCATGATTTTTACGCCATTGGAAATGCAGCAATGTTGGGCGCGTTTGGTTTAATGTATATGTAGATTTAAGATTATACAAGTGTGTGTCGTTTAAATTGCATGTTAATATGTGAGATGTATTTGGCAAAACAATAATTGTTTTAGTGCACTTGCATGACAAATTGTATTAGAAAAGTAAATACAGGCTAAATTACATATTTGGTCACTTAATTTATCTATTTTTTCATGGTTACCATATGAATAATTTTCTTTTCATATTGGCTATTCGTTATATCGTTTAAGCATTGGTCATAGACCGTCTATTTCATGAAAAAAAATTCTCAGTGGCAGCCGACTGCAAGCTTTAACTGTTAGATGACGTAACAATTCAAATATATAAATTAATAAAAATGAATATTGAATTTTCTTCAATGGAAAAACCAATTGGAAAATGGTCATCACTCAAGCTCTATCTTATCCCTCTTCGACTTGGACCTTACTCATCGACTCAATGAGTACCAACAATGACAATTCCTTTTTGTGTCCTGTTTGCTTAGGAGTAGCATTTGAGAATGAGTTAAATCTTGTATCGTTAAAAGTATACAAAGAAGATTCTTTGACCAAGCAATCATAATTCATAAGCAGTAAATCAACCCAACAGTGTTAAGCTCATGTAATGTACTATGCATGCACAACATGGAGCAAACAAAATTCCTCACCATTCCTCTTTATCATTGCTTCAATTAGTATCCCCATTGCAATATCCTTAATGGTGTCAAGTTTGCAAAAGAATGTCTCCTTGGCCAATTCGAATTTGTATCCAAAATCTCACTTGGATGCGGTCACGACAACCAAATGTCGTTCATCGCGACCATCAGCCTTTTGGGGTCGACTGAGGTCACTCTCTCTCACCTACCTGCTCAAGGCATTCTCGTCCTCCTACTACCTATCGCGATTAACCGATTCCCCTGTTATGTAGTTTCAACTTCGCCTTCTGTGATGGAAATTTTGTTGAAGAGTCACTAGATCAACACGTTTTACTATGTGGTATTGAACGTGATGAGCTTCGTTAAGTACATGTTGTCAATTTTGACCCCAATTTCAGAACTGGATGATTCCGATGGTGGAGGGATCTTAGGTTATTGCGGCACCACCATAACTTGGTTATAGACTCATGCGTAGAACTCTGTCTCTGATGGCTTTGTGGGATTGACCGCGCACACGAGGTCTACGAGAAGAGTGGCATTGCTCGACATATGCTTCAATATGCCCGGAATGTCGAGCATGAAGGTGTTGATCGGAGGTGTTGATCGAAGACATGTGTTATCCACTTTTATGAAGAATAAGTTTACAAACACTATTGCTTTCAAATATAAAATGCACTCAAATATATAAAAAAGGGTTAATAGCATTTTATACCCCTATACTATTACAAATTAGCAAACATAGCCCTCCATTATTTTTTTACACAAACCTACCCTCATATAATCAACTGGCCATTTAAAGAGAGGGGGAAAGACCAAATTGTCAATTCATCGTTTGCAAAAATATAACCTTCCATCCAAAATTTTGTCAACTCACCATTTAAAGAGAGGGAAAAAGACTAAATCGTCCCCTCTTGTTAAATAATTTGTTCTCTTTATTGAATAAAATTTTCTATATTTCCCCAAATTTATTGAATATGTGAATTAACCAGCCAATACAAACTACAATTTGATCACTAGGAAATCAAATTGAATCTGTGAATTCTTTGTTTGGCAAGTCATAATAAATCAGCAGTAGAGAGCCCGACTCATCACCCTCATCACTGCATAAACCGCAGCAGCAGTGGCCATCGACAGTAGAAAGATCACCAAGAATTGACCAACTTGCTTCTCCCTCCACCATCGTGCTTTGCCCCCCCCCCCCCTCCCTCCGCTTCGACTTCGTTGCCAAATCATGTAAACTGTGTAGTTTACAAGAGGTGAAATGGTTGAAGCGATTGGCAACGACAATTCTAGTTTGGTGAATGATATTTATAGCTTATGTGTCTATTATTACTTGAAACTCGCACAATTGCAGCAGAGACCATGACTATTTGATGTTCCTGATGGTTGAGGGGAGTTGGAGATTTTGGAGTAAAATTAAACAACAAAATGAAAATAGATAAATTCAGGAAAAAATAAAAATGTTAATTTAGTAAGTGACAAGGGAGGGTAAATTTCCATTTAACAGGATATTTGATGGAAGGGTAGAGCTGTTACGTTTTTATGGTTGAAAGACATAAAAGTGCAAAATAATAGTATAAGTGTACATTTGTTAATTTGAAATAATAAAAGTGAATAAAATGCTATTAACCCTATAAAAAGGGATAATACCAACCTTTAGTTAAATTAGATTAACTTTGACTATAGTTTACTAGAGTAGTCATAGTACTTTCTATCTTAATATGTTTGCTAGATAATGAACTAAAACTAAGTAATAATAACTCTAGAGACCCGTGGATTTGATATTTGTTACTTGTGCAACTATACTGCAGTCCCTTTCATTGGTTACACTTGGTCATTGTTAGGAATTGTGTTTTAGCGAGTCAGAAAGTAGAAACTAAAGGTTTGGCTTCATTGCTCTCAAATTCAGTTTGCTGACATTTTTACAAAGTCTTCACGCAAGTCTAGATTTGAAGAACTAAAGACAATCATTGGGATGGTCAGTGATATTTGCAAGGATGAATTTTACGGTTCAAACTCAGTTGGAACCAACTTAAGCTATTTGTGGCTTCTGGCTGAAGAAAGGAACTTTGTTGATCAATAAATGAAGAATGCAGGCGACTTAAAGTGTACAAGACAGTTTGGGAATGATGATTTGTAAAGAAAGAAGGGAAGAATTGATGACTTGGAGCTGTGGATTGAGTTGTTATAAACGCGCTGCTACAGATCGGGAAATCGTCGGAATCGATAAAGCAAGAATACGAAAGCGAGAATCGAAAAACACATACAAACAATTTACGTGGTTCGCTAACGTGATGTGTGTTAGCTACGTCCACAGGCGAGAGAGAGCCAGTTTTACTATATCGAGGAGATTACAGATTACAGAGGAGTATGAGGAGTATTTATAGTACTTCTCCATGTGGGTCTAAACCTAATCCAATCTATCAAAGGAAACGGTTACAGACCAGGCCCAGAACCCGAACCCAAATAACATTGAGCCCATACACCGTGGGCCGGGGGCATTGCCCCTGAATCCCACTCGCTGACCGGTCAGCGAGACCCCCGACTACCAGTCGTAGCGGCTGATAGTCCGATTCATGTCACATCAACAAATCTCCACCTTTTATTGAATCCTCTTCCTCTAAAATCTTTGATGTACTCTGCTCCTTCTCTCTCTCTCTCCTGCCATCAATGCTTCGCAGGGCGAAGTCACCCACTCAAGACATTCAGCAAGTCCAAGCAGTGTTGGAACTTGCCATGTGGAACCGGCTTTGTGAACATATCAGCAGGATTATCCGCGGTGCCAACCTTCTTCACCTCAATCCTCTTCTCTGTCCTCAAGAAATGATACCTCACGTCGATGTGCTTAGTCCTCTCATGGTGGACTTGATCCTTGGCCAAGCATATTGCACTCAAACTGTCGCAATACACCACTGCCTGATCATGATGTAGACCAAGATCACCAACCAGTCCCTTCAACCATATTCCCTCCTGAGAAGCTTTTGTCAACGCCATATACTCTGCCTCAGTAGTAGACAATGTCACCGCCGACTACAAAGTTGCCTTCCAGCTCACTACAGAACTCCCAAGAGTAAATACATAACCGGTCATCGATCTCCTCGTGTCAACATCTCCAGCATAGTCCGAGTCAGAATACCCAGACACCAAGCACTTTGTATCACTTCCGAAGCTAATCCCCACATCAAGTGTACCCTTAAGGTACCGGAAGATCCTCTTCACAGCCTGCCAATGCTCCTTCCCGGGTTGTATCATAAACCTGCTGACAACACTAACAACATGAGCAAGATCAAGTCTAGTGCATACCATAGCGTACATCAAGCTACCTACTGCACTAGCATATGGGACTCTCGACATGTACTCCTTCTCAGCCTCTGACTGCGGTGCATAAGCTGAGAATAGATGAACATTTGAAGCACTAGGAGTATTTAAGGGCTTTGCTGAAGACATGCCAAACCTCGACAGTATCTTCTGGATGTAGCTCTTCTGTGACAAGAAAAGTTTCTTCTTCGACCTGTCCCTGTAAATATCCATACCCAAGGTCTTCTGAGCAGCTCCCAAATCCTTCATCTCAAACTCAGCACTGAGAAGCCCCTTTAACTTCTGGATATCAGACTTTGACCTCGCAGCTATGAGCATATCATCCACATACAGAACAAGATAGATCATCGAACCATCATCTACCTTGTTGTGATACACACAACAATCATATGGACTTCTGCTGTAGCCCAGCTCAAGCATGTAACTGTCAAATCTCTTGTACCACTTCCTCGGAGACTGCTTAAGTCCATACAAGGACTTCTTCTGCTTACAAGCATAGTCTTCTTTTCCCGAAACCTTGAATCCTTCTGGCTGAGTCATGTAAATTTCTTCCTCCAACTCTCCATGTAGGAAAGCTGTCTTCACGTCTAGCTGCTCGAGCTCCAAGTCATAATGTGCCACTATTGCTAGTAGCACTCTCATCGAAGTATGTCTGACCAATGGTGAGAAAATCTCATTGTAGTCAACTCCTTCCCTCTGCGAGAAGCCTCGTGCAACCACCCGAACTTTAAATTTCATGCCCTCTTTAGAAGTGATTCTTTCCTTCTTCTTGTAGATCCACTTGTTTGTAACAATCTTCCTTCCTTGTGGTCGATTGACTAGCTCCCAAGTCTGATTCCTGTCATGGGATTCCATCTCATCTCCCATTGCGGCAAGCCACATATCAGCTTCGCCACCCGAAACGGCTTCTCTATAGGACTGTGGCTCACCTGCATCCACTTCTTCAGCAACCTGAAATGAATACGCTACCATGTCCTCGAAACCATACCTCTTTGGAGGTACCTCTACAGTCGCTCTCTTCGGTCTACCGGAAGCTATAAACTGTTGAGCTCCTGCACTGGACTGTGAAGTTTCTGACTCTATAGAAACATGCTCATGTTGATCAGCTCCACCTTGGTGCTCAAACTCACTCTCATTGAGAGTTTGTTGCTCCACCTGCTTATCAACATTCCTAATACCTTCAACAACAATAACCTTCAACATGGGGTTAAACATAGACTTCTCATCAAATATCACATTTCTACTGAGTATAACTCGATGCTCAGGAGGTGACCAGACTCGAAATCTCTTAACTCCATCTCTGTAACCCACAAATACACCCTTCTTTGCCCTTGGGTTCAGTTTACCCTCATCCACATGATAATAAACAGGACACCCAAAAACTTTCAGTGAAGAGTAATCAGCAGGCTTACCATACCACACCTCATAAGGAGTCTTAAACTCGATACCTGTGTCAGGTCCACGGTTGATCAGGAAGCACGCCATGTTCACTGCTTCTGCCCAGAATCTTCTCTCTAGTCCAGCATTAGAGAGCATGCACCGTGCTCTCTCCAACAATGTCTGATTCATCCTTTCTGCAACGCCATTCTGCTGAGGTGTATCTCTCACAGTCCGATGACGGGAAATCCCTTCATCCTCGCAGAATTCGTTGAACTCAGAATTACAGAACTCCAGACCATTGTCTGTTCGTAGCTTTTTGATCTTCTTCCCGATCTGATTCTCCACCAATGTCTTCCACTTCTTGAATTTCGTGAAAGCCTCACTTTTCTGCTTCATCATGAAAATCCAAGTAAATCTCGAATAATCATCAATAATAGACAGAAAATACCTGCTACCTCCAATGGATTCAACTCGTGAAGGACCCCAACAGTCATAGTGGAGGTAATCTAGTATCCCCTTCGTCCGATGGATACCCTTCTTGGGAAAATTTCTACGATGTAGCTTCCCAAACATACAATGCTCGCAGAATTCCAACTTCTGCACCTTGTGCCCGCAAAGAAGATCCCTCTTCGATAGAACTTGCATCCCCCGTTCACTCATATGCCCCAATCTCATCTGCCAGAGAGTGGTCATATCTTCCTGATGAACCCGAGATGATGCAACTGCAGCAGAACCAGACAACACGGACCCTTGTAATGCATACAAGGTCCCACGCTTCACGCCCTTCAGCACCTTCCTTGAACCTTTGCAGACATACACAACTCCACCTTTTCCTTTGAAACTGAAACCCTTGCTGTCGAGTAGACTTAAGGAGATCAGGTTCTTTGTCATTCGTGGAACATGCCTGACATCATTCACGGTACAGAACGAACCATCATGTGCCCGAACCTTTATGGACTCGATTCCAACAACCTTGCAGACATCCATTTTCCATGACCACATTACCACCATCTATCTACTCGTAGGTTGTGAAGCAATCCCTTTTTGGAGACATATGGTATGAGGCTGTAGTATCCAGAAACCACACATCCCCACGATGTGCCTTCTCATCTACAGCCAAGGCGAGATCGTCTACAGAACTGTTGTCCACTTCTGCCACGGCAACTGAACCTTGTTTCTTCTGTTGCCCTCTTCTCTTGGGACAATTGTACTTCCAATGCCCCACTTCCTTACAGTTGTGACAAGCATCACCTGGCTGTGGACCGGGACCCTTGGAATTCTTATTCAAATTCCCTTTACCAGATTTCTTCTTTCCCTTTTCACTTGTAAAAGCCAAACCCGATGCCTCACCACCTGTATTAGATCCAGACGCCTTATGCCTGATCTCTCCGTATGAAGAGCAGACCTGACATCCTCCAACGACACACTTTCTTTTCAAGCAATAAAAGAATCAACGAAATTCTCATATGAACTCGGCAAAGGAACTAGTAGGATTAGGGCAGCATCCTCATCATCAACTTGAACATCTATATTACGCAAATCCAGCAAAATAAAGTTAAGCTGTTCGAGATGTTCCCTCAAAGGCGTACCTTCTTGCATCCTCAAGCTGAACAACCGTTGCTTGAGATGCAGCTTGTTGGTTAGAGACTTAGTCATGTACAAACTCTCTAGTTTCAACCACAAGCCTGCGACAGTCTTCTCAGCTGCGACTTCAATGATGACGTCATCAGACAACGATAGCATGATGGTCGAGTGAGCCTTCTCCTCCAGGGTATTCCACTCATCGTCATCGACCGCTGCCTTCTTCTGTTTCGCAGACAGCGGCCCCCACAACCCTTGTTGTTTTAATAAAGCCTGCATCTTGATCTGCCATATAGCGAAGTTGTTCTTCCCCGTGAACTTTTCGATCTTCATGTTCACCGACGTCATTCTTCTGAATCGAAAACCCTAACCTGATTTCCAGCCGCGGCTCTGATACCACTTGTTATAAACGCGCTGCTACGGATCGGAAAATCGTCGGAATCGATAAAGCAAGAAAACGAAAGCGAGAATCGAAAAACACAGAAACACGATTTACGTGGTTCACTAACACGATGTGTGTTAGCTACGTCCACGGGCGAGAGAGAGCCAGTTTCACTATATCGAGGAGATTACAGAGGAGTATGGGGAGTATTTATAGTACTTCTCCATGTGGGTCTAAACCTAATCCAATATGGCAAAGGAAACGGTTACAGACCAGGCTCAGAACCCGAACTCAAATAACATTGAGCCCATACACCGTGGGCCGGGGGCGTTGCCTCTGGACCCCACTCGCTGACCGGGCAGCGAGACCCCCGACTACCCAGTCGTAGTGACTGATAGTCTGATTCAAGTCACATCAACAAAAATATCTATTTTAGTATCACACCTAAAGGCATTTGTGTCAATTCCGCTGCTGAAATTCTTGGAAGACAAGGAAAGCATTTGTTGTACTTGTTTCACTTTTTTTTTTTGGCTAATAGCATTTTGTGACCATCTACTATTGAAAATTAACAAACATACCCTTTTACTATATTTTCGCACAAACGTACCATTCTAATATCACAACGTAACGAAAATACCCTTCCGTTAAAAATTATGTTAAGTGGGCATTGCTGAAATGGGAAATGACCATGTTACCCCTTACTAAAACTGAAATTATAATTTAAATAAAATTTTAATGCAAATGGATTAAAAATTCCTAATATCTTCCACCAAAAAAATCTCTAACCTAATCCCATACTCCCACGTAGCGAGTCCGACGGTCAACTTCCCATCTAGTTCGGCGTTGGCTCTTCACCTCCGCCGTCCACCTAATCCTCTGGCACCACCTATTGGAGGGAGAAGTTAGCGTATGAGTGCTTACGGGAGAAGGATACAAAAACGCCCATGTATATATATAATATACCGCAGTAAATTATGTAGATATATATCTCTCTGCTGGATGGGAATGGAATTGATGGTGCTTCTTTATTTTGAGTTGCTCTATTCCTTCACCCAGATATGAAGGGGGTAAATCCGTTTATTTTTCATTTAGGGATCATGTCCGATCTTACTCCTCAGTAATTAATAACTTACTTTTGTTTTTACGGCTTCCTCAAAGCTTCTCCGCTGTTATTGATTATGGTTGATATTGTGATGTATATATGATGAAGCTCTGTTCTCGAGCTGCCATTGTTTCGTGATGAACTACGGGGAAATTGGGTAGCTTCCCAGATGGTGGGAGAAGGGTACCTTGAGGGTTACTGGAGGGAGACTTTCGCTTGGTCGAGTTTGCCGGTTGCAGCTTCGTCAAAAGGGACAAGAAGGAATTAGTAGGGATGGGGTTTTCTCGGCAGGTGAAAATGGAGGGACGCAGCTGATGAAATAAAATTAGGGAATTTTGAATTTGCTTGGACACGATGATATTAAAATATAGTTACTGTTTTAGTAAGGTTAACATGGTCATTTCCACCCCAATTAACGCCTACTTAACAAAAAAATTAACGGAAGGGTATTTTCGTTAGGGCTGGGAAACGGTGCGGTCTAGTCCCGACCAGACCATATATACGGTCTATGGTTCAGACCGAGAGGGTGAAGTATAGACCACAGACCATACCACGGACTATACAGTCCGGTCCAGACCATGCCTGTCCGGTCTGGTCCACATAGACCACACTCAACGAACAATGAATAATTTGTGTAGTCAACCACACTAAAAATTGAACCAATAACCAAGAAAAATATTTGTTATTTTCCTTAAAACATTAGTCCTAACATGCATGAATAATTTTGATACCCTAAATCTTAGTACATAACAAAGATACAAAGTAAAAGCATCCCAACTTGCACCAAAACGTCATAAACATTAACATAATGTCATATGGAGACACAATTATCTCTACTCTCTGGTTAAATGTGATTGTGAATGAAGCAGGGACGAGATTCACAAAACTAAGCTTCAAACTTGGGTGTCATTGTGGGAGTTGTGAGAGTGGTCGAATGGGCTGTTAACACGTATTGACAAGTCGGTTAGGTCCACGGTTTGGTCCGGTAAATCACGGTCTAGACCAGACCAGACCAAGAGATCAAAACATAAAACAATACAATCCATGGACCAAACCAGACCATACTTAACGGTCTACGGTCCGGACCAAATTGTGCGGTACGGTTTGGACCACGGTTTTCCTAACGGTCTGATCTATTTTCCCAGTCCGGATTTTCGTTACGTTGTGATATTAGAAGGGTATATTTGTTCAACAATATAATAAAGGGGCATGTTTGTTAAATTTGCAATAGTAGAGGCGCACAAAATGCTATTAACCTTTTTTTAGTTTGTTGTTTGTTTCCTAATAAATCTGTATGGCTAAACTACATGTTTGGTCACTCAAATTACATAAATCTTTCACGTTTGACACCCGAATCATTTTTCTTTCTGATTCGCCACTAACTTTACGAATCCTTTCACTGTTAGTTCTCGGCCGTCAAACTCCGTTAACTTCGTCAATTTTTTGATGACATGGCAAACATAACTGCTGATTGGACGTTAACTTAGTGATATGGAAATTAAAAAAAAAGTGTTCTCTCTGTTCTTCTTCTTCCTCAGCTTTTTGGTCATGGCTTGCTCCAAATTGGGGAAACTCAATCTCGTTCCAAGTCTCATCTCCAATCTCCCAACTTCACTTTGTCTTCCACCTACAGACGCATCTCTGTCTCCCCATTCCACCAACTCTTCTTCACCGCATCGCACAATATCTCTCTCTATTGCTCAAGAAATCCTTCTCTGCCATGGACCAAACCAGACCATATATACTTAACGGTCTACGGTCCGGACCAAATTGTGCGGTATGGTTTGGACCACGGTTTTCCTAACGGTCTGATCTATTTTCTCAGCCCGGATTTTCGTTACGTTGTGATATTAGAAGGGTATATTTGTTCAAAAATATAATAAAGGGGCATGTTTGTTAAATTTGCAATAGTAGAGGCGCACAAAATGCTATTAACCATTTTTTAGTTTGTTGTTTGTTTCCTAATAAATCTGTTTTGCTAAATTACATGTTTGATCACTCAAATTACATAAATCTTTCACGTTTGCCACCCGAATCATTTTTCTTTCTGATTCGCCACTAACTTTATGAATCCTTTCACTGTTAGTCCTCGGCCGTCAATCTCCGTCAGACTCCGATAACTTCGTCAATTTTTTGATGACATGGCAAACATTACTGCTGATTGGACCGTTAACTTAGTGATATGGAAATTAAAAAAAAAAAGTGCTCTCTCTGTTCTTCTTCTTCCTCAACTTTTTGGTCATGGCTTGCTCCAAATTGGGGAAACTCAATCTCGTTCCAAGTCTCATCTCCAATCTCCCAACTTCACTTTGTCTTCCACCTACAGACGTATCTCTGTCTCCCCATTCCACCAACTCTTCTTCACCGCATCGCACAATATCTCTCTCTATTGCTCAAGAAATCCTTCTCTGTCATGGCCAACCCAACCTTTGAACACCCCAGCCTCCCAAAATCCGGGTCGGCAGGTCTTGGAGTGGTCTTCGGAGGTTGAAGAATTCACATTGAATAGGGGAGGTATAAGTGGGTCTGGAGATGGAAGAAGAAGAAGAAGAAGAAGAAGAAGAAGAAGAAGAAGGGGAGTTGGGAGATGGGATTTGGAATGGGGAGATGGAAGAGCTATAGGGGAGTTGGGAGATCAGTGAGGGGATTGTGTTTCCCTAATTTAGAGCAGGCTAAGGATAAAGTCGACGAAGAAGAAGAATTGGGAGAGGGATCTTTTTTTTATAATTTCCATGTCATTAAGTTAATTGTCTAGTCAGCAGTTCCATTTGCCACGTCATAAAAAAACTGACGTACTTAACAGAGTCTGACGAAGACTGACGACTGGTGACTAACGGTGAAAGGATTGGTAAAGTTAGTGGCGAATCAGAAAAAAAAGTGATTTTGATGGCAAATGTGAAATATTTATGTAATTTGAGTGACCAAGCGTGTAATTTATCCAAATCTGTATAAAGCTAGGCCTTCTACCAAAAGTTATGTTTTTAATTTTTATGTTCTTTTCTTGTTACTGTTTCATTGCTTGCTTAAGTTTTTGTTTATTTAGGGGGATATTGCTTGCTTAAGTTAGAAGCAAGGCATATATGTATGTTTAAGCTCTACATGAGTTATGTTGGGACGAGGTGGAGCGCCACGTAAGGAAAGAGTCATGAAAGTGGACGACCAATTGGGTAGGAGTGTCACATGTGAAGGCGTGGGGCGGACGGCCCCGTCATCAGCACCGCCACCACGTGGCGGTAGATATAATTTCCTTGGTGCCGGACACCACGTTGTCAGACGTTCACGTGGAAATCTCATGCCAGTGCTACTAGCTTAGCTTCCCTTTTCCAATTCCAACCCGACCCGCCCATCTTTCCGTTGCGTGCAAAATCTTTCCTCCTGATAACCCAAAATGTACACCAGCTTCAGAAAACTAGAATTTCACAAGTGGATGCTATATGGGATCGGATATCTTCCCTAGTGACCCAGTCTATCTGTAAAGGACCATCAACTATCGAGGATTGTATTTTCGGTCTGAAAAAAGGATCCTTTCCGCTAGCTATAATAAAAGTACTGCGCGCGCCATATATATAGTATAGTCTTCCGGTGCTCTCTCTGCCAACCCACTGTAGCATTTTATGTTTCCCACTATATATTGGCAGATCCTGTAACCTGTCGAATACTGATCCATTGCGTCTTTTCCCAACGAGTGATAATGCGCTGAAGATATGAATTCGAATTTCGAACCTAACATGTTTCTCGAGTTTAAATAGTCCATGTTGTCAATTAAATTATCATGCGGGAACTATCATCCTGTTCTTTTATTTGGAGGTTTTTTTTTTTTTTTTTTTTTGTAAGCAGAACCAACAATTAAGTTTAACTTATGTGGGCAGGGAGGGAGTTGATGAGCATTGGAACTTGTTGACCGGATAACCATGGAGATGTTTTCTGAAAAAACAAGCCCTTTTCTTGCAATCGAACAAATATACATATGCTGCACTTATTCATGCAGTCAAGCATTAAATCCCTGACCTACTGGAACGTACGTATATAATATTTGCAACAATAATTCCCCATGCATTTATATATCTCACACGTGGAGCCGAGCAATTGGCCACTGTCTATCAAGTAGCACAGTCCCCTACAAGAAAGGTTAATCATTATTACCACGACGGACAAACCATAATCAAAGACTAATGTACGTACTTAACTTAATCCCACTCAAATCACACCACAACAACAGCCACAACAATCTATCAATTAAGCATCTCCATAGTGTTCAATATCTTGCTGCGTCTGATGATACCCTTTTCCCATGACACCGACATAGCTGCCACTAGCCATGGCCACCGGAAACCCAATCCCACCATCACCACCACCCGCCGCCGTCCCCTCCCCTTCTGCCGCCGCCGCAGCCGGCCGAGCTCTCTCGAGCGACTGCACTTGATTCTTCAGGAACTTGACGTAATGGATGGCCTCGTCCAGCATCGACGCCGTGTCCATCTTCGTCCCGCCGGGGACCAGCCTCTGCAGTATCCTTATCCTCTCGCTGATCCTCTCCCGCCGCTGACGCGCCGCCACGCTCTGCGGGTCCTTCGATATCCGCACGTTCCTCCGCTTCGGCGGCTTGACGGTCTCCGGGTCGATGTGGACCGGCTGCATGGCGGCGATGCGGAATATCATCTCCCTCATCGCCGCCATCGACGCCTTCTTATGCGCCGCCGGCATCCCGTTGGCAAGGCCGGCGGCGGATTCAGTCGTCATGAGGTCTCGCCATGAGACTGCTTGCTGGTCGTCGGTGGAAAAGGATAAGGTGGTGGAAGGGTGGTTGGGGTCGTTGCTGTGATGGTGGTGGAGGAAATGTGGGTAGGCGGCGGTGGTGGTGGGAGTTGCACCGGCGGGGAAGTTGTCGGAGGGTAAGATGGGGAATTCGGAGTAGAAGTAGTCGTGGATCTGTTGTTGTTTGTTAATCATAATGAGCATTGATTGGTGGTCGTCGGCGTCTGTGGAAGGTGACGACGATGAGTAGTTCAAGTGATCGAATTCCATGTGTGTCTTTTTGTTTTTGTTGTTTTGGACAGAGGGATGGAGAGTCCTGTTCTACGTATCAGAGCAGTGGTAATGGAAGTAGCTAATAAGAGTAGAGTGTGTAAAAGGTATGGAGAAGGAGCTGAAGAAGCAGAAATAGAAAGTGTTGGGAGGTGGGAAATTGAAGGTATTGGGAAGAAGATGGCGTCATGCTAGCTATAATATATATATATTGGGCAACCATATGTAATATAACAAATTAAATTAACAAGTGGAGCTTTTGCTATCTTCTGCAAGAAAATAATAGTTTAGTAATTTTGGTAATAAATGTTGTTTTTATTAGTTGAAAAATAATGGAATGGTTCATTCTTGTTTTTTTTTTTTTTTTTGTTGGGAAAGAATGATGATATAGATATATTTTTTTATTCTGTTGAGATTTTGTTTTTAGTTTTGGAGGATTCTTCATGGCGCAATATATTGGTAGGTGTTGATCTTGGAGATCAAAGAGATATAACATGGCCAATTAAGTGAATAAGATTATATTTAGATGGATCTTTAAAAGTTATGAAGTTGCATGGGCTGAATATTGATTAAGATTATCTTACTCATCTTCAATATCCTTTTTGGCTGAGAATGGTGCAAGCACTACTATCTCTTAGCTAGACAGACTACAATAGTGAGCCTAAACAAAATCATACAAAAAATCAATATTTGATATCGAAATTTGAAACAATAATAAAATATTTTCATAAAAGCATATAATTCTCGTTATAAGCTACATATATATTGTGGGGGGAAATAACATTCCTATGCTAACATTTACTTGAATGCCGACACATATCGAAAACGTAACAACTCTCACGCATAGGGGAAAACAGTACTTGAGTGAGGCATTAGTTATATTTAGTCTTGGCAAAGATATTTGAGCCCAAGGATCGGAGGGACGTATAGAAAGTGATATAAATCCTTGCCTATTATTGAGAAGTTGGGTGGTCGGCTCGCGGTAAGAAACATGGAATGGAAGGCCATGCAATGCAATGCAAGAGAGTCAAATCTTACCAAAAATGGAAATGTTAAGGAGTGGAGGTTGAAATCACGATTGGTGTACGACATGGCACGGCCCCGCCACCACCAATGCAATGTCTATCTATCTAACACCGCACCAACCCCATTTCCCTGCCACAGAAAGGAAAGCATTCAACTATATATGCATCACTGCTCTATCCTCGTGTTATTTGATCATTTCATTTCATGGTGGCGGTGTTAGTAAACGGTATATCGATTGAACCTCTCCCAACAACTCGAGTTATTGGGATCAATTGGTTCTTGACATGATATCAAAGTCTTCTATGACCGTGAGGTCTCCTGTTCGAATCCTAGGAGCCCCCATCTGTTCTGTTAAGCACATGGTGTCCGGACATGTGCTGGTCCAAACTCCAAGCCTGTCTAAGTGACTTGAGTTTGAAGGATAGTGTTAGTAAACGATATATGATCCACAATTGAACCTCTACTAACAACTCGAATTATTAGGATCAACTGGTTCTTGAAAAGCGAAACTTGATTATTAGTCTTCGTTTCCTCATTTTACCTAATCAATTACTTTAACAAATAAGATATACCTGACAAATTTTTTTTTTTTTTAATAATATACGGTTTTCCCTCCTAAAAATAAATTAAAATATTAAAAATTTTAAGAGGGGAAAGTAAACCTTAGCCAAAACCCCACAATCACATGACAGGTGTCAGAGTTTCTCCCTCCATATAAATTAACCAAATAATGAACAAGTATATTATTTTTCTACATGGAAAAGAAGCAGACGTTTTCTAATTAATTAATTGTCCCCACCTGACCTGACCCACTTGGCGGAACCGTTAGATCATCCAGCAAATGATCAATATAGAGCTTTAATTTGGCGGTGAAAACTACTGAAAATAATATATAAGAAAATTGCCCACAAATCAGCCGCCTGAAATTAAAGCACTCATTGGATCCATCATCTATGTCAATGTTCGTCTTTTGAAAGGAAAATGTCGGTGAGAATCACTGAGAATAAACATGATAATATTCCACAATGGTAGAAGTAGGGTTTTGGTGAAAATCACTTAGAAGAAATATAGAAGTAGGGTTTTCGTGAAGGGTTCTTAATGATTAAGGACCTTCGTTTTCTCATTTCAATATATATAGCTCAACTATTTACAGAAAAAGAGTAAAGTAACTATGAAAAACTAATTAGAACAGTAAAAATGAAAAACTAAGGGGTCGTTTGGAAGTTGCGATTGTTAAATAGATGTATTGTTGAGAATTCATGTATAATATTATACATGTATTGTCGAATTTCATGCATTGTAGAATACAACGTTTAGTATGTGTGATTGTGTATGTCGCATCAGCTAAAAGCTGAGACAAAACAATCTCAACTCACATATCTCAACAATCACAACTAAAAGTTGAGATACAACAATCACTCAAAATGAGTGATAGTTTCTGTCACATCATAGAAACAATTCATGTATTGTTTCTGCTAAAAAAACAAAAAACAATGATGCATTGTAAACAATACATGCATAATGACAATCTCAACAAAACAATCGCAACTTCCAAACGACCCCTAACTTTCTAATCTAGCCTATAAAAACTGTACACGTGTAAACAATAAACTAATTACAACGCCCAAGTGGAACGCTGTCGTTATGGTCCTTTAGTACAAAGCCTCTTCCTGCCTTTGGACGAAACCACAACGACGACGTTCCTGTTTTCTTGTGCTCTGTTCTTCGTGTAAGCAGCAGCTCCTCTGTAGTGTGTGTTCTTCAATTCCCAGCTGCTGCTGATTGCTTCTTGGAACTGATCGTTTCTTCATTACGCCCCCCTCAAGCTGGCGAGTATCTTCTGATACTCCCAGCTTGCTCAACAACATCTTGAATCGATCAATTCCTAGACTCTTGGTGAATAGGTCTGCAATCTGATGTGTAGTAGATAAATGATGTAAACTGATCAAACCACTTACTACCCTTTCTCGAATGACATGGCAGTCGACCTCAATAGGTTTAGTCCTCTCGTGGAACATAGGGTTCCTGGCAATGTGGATCACCGACTGATTATCACAGAATAAGATTGTTGGATGTGAATGATCAATGCCAAAGTCATCAAGTAAACGAACCAGTTACTGCATTTTACAGCTGAGGTGTGACATGGCCCTGTATTTTGCTTCGGAGGATGTTCTAGATACAACGCCTTGTTTCTTGCTTCTCCAACTTATCAATCCATTTCCCAAGAATGTACAAAAACCTGTAATAAATCTTCTACTGTCTGGACATGTCGCCCAATCTAAGTCACTGTAGCCTGTAATCTGTATGTTGGAGTTACTAGGATAAAACAATCCTTGCCCAGGTGCATTCTTGAGGTATCTAAAAACTCTTTGTAAAGCTTTGAAATGAACTGTTGTTGGAGAGTCTTGGTACTTACAAAGTTGTTAATACTGCATAAGTTATGCCTGGTCTGGTTGTGTTCAGGTATTGTAATTGACCAAGTAAATGTTTGAACTTGCTAATGTCATGAAACGGTTCACCATCTTGAGCAGAGAGAACCTGTTTAACGCTGGAAGGAGTCTTTACAAGTTTGCATTCTTCAAATCATGCTTCTCTCAGCAGTTCAATGCAGTACTTTCTCTGGCTTACATGTATCCCACCATTAACCTTGTTAATCTCCAAGCCAAGAAAGTACTTTAAATCACCTAGATCCTTTATTTTCAAGACAGACTTCAACATCCTCTTCACTGCTTCAACTGCCTTTAAATAGATGCTTCCAATAACAATGTCATCAACAGAGACTATTTGCACTACAAGCGATTTCTCCACAGTGGAAAGGAATATAGAGCAATCGGCATTGGATTGCTTAAAACAATGAGCCAACAAGGTTTCATTCAACTTAGCATACCACATTCTGCTAGCCTGTTTCAACCCGTAAAGGGATTTCTTTAACCTGTAAACTTTGCCTCTTAATTCTGGTTTCTCCTTCCACCCAGGTGGAAGTTCCATATACACTACTTCATCCAAATCATCATTTAAAAATTCATTATTGACATCCATTTTATGCAAATGCTAGTTCTGAATGGATGCAATTGCCAATAACATTTTAACATATGTCAACTTTGCAACTGGAGAGAATGTATCACAATAATCAATGCCATAAACTTGATTATATCCCTTGGCCACTAATCTGGATTTAAATCTTTCAACACTGCCATTAGGGTGATATTTGACTCGAAATATCCATTTACAGCCAATGGCTTTCATTCCCCCAGACAAGTCTGTGATCTCCCAAGTTTGATTGTCATATAAAGCCTGGATCTCTTCTCTCATGGCAGCTTGCTAGCGAGGATCAAGGAGTGCTTCAGCATAGGAAGCAGGCTCAAGAACAGCCATGAGAGAAAAAGCAAAGTGTTGTTGTTCAGGAGACAGCAGAGGAGAGCAACAGACTTGAGCAATACTCACATAGTAATCACTATATTTAGAAGGAAAGACTATCTGCCTTGTAGACTTTCTAATGGGCTCTACAAGTGGGAGAGGAGAAGGGTGAACTGTAGATGGGGAAATAGGAGAAGGAGGAGGAGAAGAAGGATTAGAGGAAGAAACTGGATCAGGCGGATCATCAGAAAGTGGTGCAGCAGGAGGGGAAATGGTGGGTGTAGCAGTAGGTGAAGAAGAATGCTTTACTGCAGGGTTGACAACAAGGGGTGGTTGACCAGAACAAGCGTCATCCTGAGGAGAAAAAGACTCTGAGTAGGAAGGGAGAGTAAGTGACTCACCTTCAGATGAACTATTATCTAAGTGCTCATTGGTTTTGAATGGAAAGCGATTTTCATAAAACACAACATCTCTACTGATAAACACATTTACGGTATTTGTGTCTAACAGTTTAAAGCCCTTAATTCCTGTATGAAATCCCAAAAACACACACTTACGTGCCCTTGGATCAAATTTGTTCTTATGTCCCTCTACTATAGTGGCATATGCTAAGCATCCAAAACCTCTCAAACTCATGTAGTCTGGTGGGACTTTATGGAGGATCTCAAAAGGAGTTTTGTGGTTAAGAATGGGAGTAGGAGTTCTGTTAATTAAGTAAGCAGTATGAAGAATGAAATCCTCCCAATAGTAGATTGGAAGACCAGACTGAAATTTCAAAGATCTGGCAACATTTAGAAG